CATAATAAAAAACATTCCAGACGTGGGTTCACCCCTCATGATTATGTTTGTGAGGTACAGTTATACAGAAGCTGGACTAGTACCAAGGCAAATTGGATTAAGTCTCCCAATGTTCCCTCAAGTGTTTTATTATCCCTGAGTTGAAGGCATAATATGATTACTTGGTGATGCCCTTTGTTCAGCACACTATTATCCTGATGTTGTGTCCATGAGTTCATTAACGGTACATTATGACTTGTTAGACACAAGCACGCTGCAGAGGCCCAGAGCTCGTGCAGTGTGAGTCATTCATGTTGCGTTCAGGCTGGATGGACTACTGTACGTGGGCTGCAAGTAAAGCTTCAGTTTAAACAAGTGCAATGTCATTGAATAACGGACTGTACGTGCAGAATATGATGTAAGCAGTATTAAGTGGGTTTAAGTGATAACAATCATGAACTCCTCTTGAAATTTAGATTTAAAACCCAAATATTAAAACTTTGTAACATTCAAAGGACTACATCTGACGATAAGTTTGACAAATTATTATAAAGTTTCACTTTCTAGCTTTTTTTCTCTAATGTTTTCAACTAATTTACATGGTTTTTCATTATTGTTTGTCTCCTAATGTTCTCAGTTGCCATGACCATACCTAAGTTGTCATCACGTTTTATCAGTGGCTAACCGTGTCTATCACAACTGGACCTTATGTAGACAGACCATGGATGTATAATAAGAACTGGATACAGCGTGGGAGGTGGGGCCTCGTTCATTCCTATGAGAGTTGCTCATTGGCGCATGAAGACAAAATCGCCCAACTTTTGAGAGAGCGAAACCTCACAAAAGTATTCATATAATCATATAATCCGTTCTTATTATGCATCCATGGGTAAAGGTACAACTCATGTAGTACTGAACATGTCACATGAACGTGCCGGACGGTGCGGTCCCGTGGGTTAGATCCGCGTTCATAATGCCGAGGAAAATAACTCTCAGAATAACGTTATTAGCACATTATACAACTTGAAGACCGAATGTTTTTAATAAGGCCTATAGGGGGCTTCTCAAACTCCGGACCAAGGTCCGGATCCGGACCAAACTGCAAATCAATCCGGACCAAACCTTGGGATAAAACTACGCCGATCCCCCTCGTCCCCTGTGGAAATGACTCTCTTGCCATCTCCTGAACACTGGCTCCCGGTAAACCCTGAAAAGGAAGTTTTTTATCATTATAAAAAATAAAAATTATACAAAATTAAAAAATTAAAACTTTCTGATTCTGATGTAAATTAATGTATATTTTCTTGTGTCTGACGCGTTGTGAGAATGAACGTGCATATATATATATTTACTTTTGTGCGCGAGCATGACACGCATTGCAGACCGCAAGTTTACCTTGACTTTCTAATGCTTCTAATGCCTTTTTTGTCGAGGTTCAAGGCATTGACTACAGACAAACGGTGCCATTTCTCCCACTAGTTCAAGCCACCATACTGTATGTATGTATTGAATGTGTGTGTGTAATATACAGGGGCGCCATTTGCCGACAGGAAAGGCAGGCAAGTGCTTGGACCAGAAGGGGGCCCCCAAAGAAGGTAGATTAAGAAGGTCCACACCAACCACAACATGAAACACCCTTTAATTGGGGTGGTTTTGGCGCAGTGGTTAGAGCGTTGGTCATCAGATCAAGGGGCTCCAGTTCGAATCCCGCCTCGGCCGCCACTGCTTCAGGCCGTTGTGTCCTTGGGCAAGACACTTTACCTGCATTTGCTCCTGTGGGTAATGTCCACAGTAATGACTCTTACATGTCTAATATGTGTAATGTGTAATTGTAAAGCGCTTTGAGCACCTGTAAAAGCGATCTAATAAAAAAATGTAATGTAATGCATTATTAATTTACTGCAACGACACGTCGGGAAACCCCCTCAAGGGGGCCCCATGCATCGCGCGCCGTAAGAAACTGCTTCTTATCATGCTATATTTGAATAATATAGTGTAGGACCATACGGCATATTATATAAATAAATAAGGAATATTTATACTTTTTATTTTTCAAAATACCAAACAGATCATGCATTTTAGCCATTCCTCATTTCGCTCAATTTAACACTGTCTTTTCATGGGCTGATTATGTGAGAACAGCGCCATCTACAGGCCTGGCATATGTACTACAGCGTCTCCAGCGCTTTCGAACGGCAATGTCCGTGGCTGTCTCCTCCTGATTGGTGGAGTTGGCCCAATAGCCGTAGCGCCACTTCTGTGACGTCATAGAAGTGTTCAAATCTGGATCAGTCTGTATCAGATCCGTTGCAGCCCCTTTTTAAGAGATTTGGGTATGGAGGAAAATTGAGAGGGTTGTGTTTTCTGACACTTGATGAGTTCCCTGGAACACCGGGGACACATATTCATGTATAAAAGACGTACAAAAGTGCATTTTGCATGATAGGTCCCCTTTAAAGTAAGTCACACAGACTATCTCCTCTTTACTCTTCTCGCAGCAAGATGTCAGAACAAAGTGAAAAACAAACAATGGCATAAAATATTATTAATATGTCGGGTAGTAATTATTATTTTTTTTTTTTTCTCAGAGTGTACCAGAATGCATAGTTTATGTTAGTATTTCTAAACATTTCTAAAAATCTGTAAACCTTTTAAAAGCATACTTTAGTTCTGTGAAGGGATATAAGGGATATATGCACTGTACTTCACTTTTATTAATATTGTATGCTGAAAAGCGTATATATTACAGCACAATTTTTTGTTGAATGATTTGAGCGCTTCAAAATGTTGGGTCGCGATGTATTGACCAAGTAAAAAGTGGGTCCCGAGGACTGACCAGTTGAGAACCACTGTTCTAGAGGACCCTGGAACCAAGGGAAACTCTGAAAGAATACGCCCATTGGCTACAAATCAATATACGATTGGTTGATCAAACTGTCAATCCAAACGTACGCTCTGATTCAGTGCAATGGCCAGGGCATTCTATAAAGGATGTAGAATACCTTGTTTGAAGAATATCCTACCCAGAGACCCAGAAAAATATCTGATTGGCTGCATTTCTTTTCCAACACAAAACCACTGAAATGCGTAGTGCATGGACCGAGAAGGACAAACAAATCAACGTAACACTGTAATATTACAGATCAACAACACAAATATGATT